TAGCATTAGCCACAACGCTGCAAGTTGCAGTGACATAGTGTATGTAATTGTGCTTTTTACCAACAGAAATAAATGAGAGAACAAGAGAGAGGAGCGAGCAGCTGCGAGAGTTTCACTACGATGGTCTCTTCCCTCGATATTACTGGTATCACTGAGCGAACGCCATCCCATCAAGATTCTCACAACTTCCCTTTCTAGCACCATAGTGCCATGGACTTTATCCTATATCAAAGGGAAATGTCTAAAAGTATCATAGCAAATGCTAAATTTTCTTTTCTATGTGTAAAATATTATTTTTTTCATATATTCATTTAAAGCTCAGTTTTTCCATGGGGAGCTAAAAGTTTTGCATGCTTTTTTTTTTACTGTTTTCATGTTTACATTTTGTAGCATTTATATATAACCTTGTGTATGCACATTTTTTGCAAAGGAACCTCAAGTTTTGAAGTTTCAAATGAATAAAGAGAAGTTTCCATAAGTGCCTCTTGCCTCTGCAATGTCTGGTATTTGAAGTATTCAACAGGAAGATGGTGGCGTGGAATAAGAAAATGTAATAAAATCTGCTGAAGTCATTAAGCCCAGATAAATTTCACATTCCAGAGTGGAAATATCTGCACGCACTGATGGAGAAGACAGACGGGAGAGAAATAAGGTGAAAATAAATAAATAAAAGGAGAACGAGGAAAGACTCCCCCACACCTCAATATACAGCATCATTCTTATTTTGTCTCTGCTGTAATTATGTGTGTCTGGGTTCTGGTATGGATCAACTTAAAGAGTTGCATAGGAGCCAAACGGCCAAGCAGTAGTGCTGCCAAAACACACAGTGTCTGCAGATCTTCCAAGAACCAATCCTGCAGACATCTGAGCCAGAAAGGTGTCTTATTCTCTCTCTACGAGACCAAATTTATCCTAATTTCTCCATAGTAGCAGCTGTTTTTTGGTGTTAGTTTGTTAACTTTGTCGAAGGTGGTATTGCCACACTACCAAAGAATCTTTTAATATCTAAAAATAAACACAGAACATGTTGTACTTTGGACTTGATAAGCTGTTTCACATAAAGTGTTTTTCTTTCTAACATTTGACTTACTATCAGCAGTAGGTGGAGCTGTAAAACAGTCTAGCTGATATCTCAGGGTTAGCGTCAACAGGAGATGCTTATTTTTATCTTCCAGCAGGACTTGGCACAAGCACAAGCTCAAAGTACCAAAGGCTGCTTTAGTAACCAGGGTGTTACTGTTCTGGGTTAAAGAGGATGAGGAGAAACACTAAAGCCAACAATGCAGATAATTTATACGCTTTTATTAAAGCAACCAGGGAATAAATTAAAATAATTTGCATACAATTTTAATTTATTTTTTCTTATATGAAACTGTTAAGAACATAATCTTTTGTCAGGCTCCTCTCCTGTGGAAACAACTGGTTTTATCCAGTTGTTTCTACTTGATAAAGCTTAGAATGGCTCAGGTTATCATGACTCATCTCTATATTTACAGGTGCTGGTCATAAAATTAGAATATCATGAAAAAGTAGATTGATTTCAGTAATTCCATTTAAAAAGTGAAACTTGTATATTATATTCATACATTACATACAAACTCATATATTTCAGATGTTTATTTTGTTTAATTTTGATGATTACAAATGACAACAAATGAAAATCTCAAATTCATCATATCAGAAAATTAGAATATTGTGAAAAGGTTCAAAATTGATGGCCCCTGGTGCCACACTCTAATCAGCTAATTAACTCAAACCACCTGCAAAAGCCTTTAAATGGTCTTTCAGTCTAGTTCTATAGGCTACACAATCATGGGGAAGACTGCTGACTTGACAGTTGTCCAAAAGACGACCATCGACACCTTGCACAAGGAGGGCAAGACACAAAAGGTCATCGCTAAAGAGGCTGGCTGTTCACAGAGCTCAGTGTCCAAGCACATTAATAGAGAGGCGAAGGGAAGGAAAAGATGTGGTCGAAAAAAGTGTACAAGCAAGAGAGATAACCGCACCCTGGAGAGGATTGTGAAACAAAACCCCTTCAAAAATGTGGGGGAGATTCACAAAGAGTGGACTGCAGCTGGAGTGAGTGCTTCAAGAACCACCACACACAGACATTTGAAAGACATGGGTTTCTGCTGTCGCATTCCTTGTGTCAAGCCACTCTTGAACCACAGACAGCGTCAGAAGCGTCTTGCCTGGGCTAAAGAGAAACAGGACTGGACTGCTGGTGAGTGGTCCAAAGTCATGTTCTCTGATGAAAGTAAATTTTGCATTTCCTTTGGAAATCAAGGTCCCAGAGTCTGGAGGAAAAGAAGAGAGGCACTTCATCCACGTTGCTCGAAGTCCAGTATAAAGTTTCCACAGTCAGTGATGGTTTGGGGTGCCATGTCATCTGCTGGTGTTGGTCCATTGTGTTTTCTGAGGTCCAGGGTCAACGCAGCCACATACCAGTAAGTTTTAGAGCACTTCATGCTTCCTGCAGCTGACCAACTTTTTGGAGATGCAGATTTCATTTTCCAACAGGGCTTGGCACCTGCACACAGTGCCAAAGCTACCAGTACCTGGTTGAAGGACCATGGTATCCCTGTTCTTAATTGGCCAGCAAACTCTCCTGACCTTAACCCCATAGAAAATCTATGGGGTATTGTGAAGAAGAAGATGCAATACACCAGACCCATAAAATAAAAACAAAGGATTTATAGAAATGTTGGCCAACTGAAAAGTATGAACATGAAAAGTATGAGCATGTACAGCACTCAGTATTTAGTTGGGCCTCCTTTGGCCTGTATTACTGCAGCAATGCGGCGTGGCATGGAGTCGATCAGTCTGTGGCACTGCTCAGGTGTTATGATAGCCCAGGTTGCTCTAATAGTGGCTTTTAGCTCTTCTGAATTGTTGGGTCTGGTGTATTGCATCTTCTTCTTCACAATACCCCATAGATTTTCTATGGGGTTAAGGTCAGGAGAGTTTGCTGGCCAATTAAGAACAGGGATACCATGGTCCTTCAACCAGGTACTGGTAGCTTTGGCACTGTGTGCAGGTGCCAAGTCCTGTTGGAAAATGAAATCTGCATCTCCAAAAAGTTGGTCAGCTGCAGGAAGCATGAAGTGCTCTAAAACTTCCTGGTATGTGGCTGCGTTGACCCTGGACCTCAGAAAACACAATGGACCAACACCAGCAGATGACATGGCACCCCAAACCATCACTGACTGTGGAAACTTTACACTGGACTTCAAGCAACGTGGATGAAGTGCCTCTCTTCTTTTCCTCCAGACTCTGGGACCTTGATTTCCAAAGGAAATGCAAAATTTACTTTCATCAGAGAACATGACTTTGGACCACTCACCAGCAGTCCAGTCCTGTTTCTCTTTAGCCCAGGCAAGACGCTTCTGACGCTGTCTGTGGTTCAAGAGTGGCTTGACACAAGGAATGCGACAGCAGAAACCCATGTCTTTCATACGTCTGTGTGTGGTGGTTCTTGAAGCACTCACTCCAGCTGCAGTCCACTCTTTGTGAATCTCCCCCACATTTTTGAATGGGTTTTGCTTCACAATCCTCTCCAGGGTGCGGTTATCTCTCTTGCTTGTACACTTTTTTCGACCACATCTTTTCCTTCCCTTCGCCTCTCTATTAATGTGCTTGGACACTGAGCTCTGTGAACAGCCAGCCTCTTTAGCGATGACCTTTTGTGTCTTGCCCTCCTTGTGCAAGGTGTCGATGGTCGTCTTTTGGACAACTGTCAAGTCAGCAGTCTTCCCCATGATTGTGTAGCCTATAGAACTAGACTGAAAGACCATTTAAAGGCTTTTGCAGGTGGTTTGAGTTAATTAGCTGATTAGAGTGTGGCACCAGGGGCCATCAATTTTGAACCTTTTCACAATATTCTAATTTTCTGATATGATGAATTTGAGATTTTCATTTGTTGTCATTTGTAATCATCAAAATTAAACAAAATAAACATCTGAAATATATGAGTTTGTATGTAATGTATGAATATAATATACAAGTTTCCCTTTTTAAATGGAATTACTGAAATCAATCTACTTTTTCATGATATTCTAATTTTATGACCAGCACCTGTATGCTGCTATAGGCTCAGACTGATGGAGGACATACAGCCTTCTTTTCTTCAATCTCCTTCTATTATCCAAAATTCCATTATTTCCTGTTCAACTTTGTCAAACTAAAGAAACTAAGGGTTTTTTTATACATTAAAATCCAACAATTCAAGTTGTTAGTAAGTGGTTACACATGGCAGATATTTAAATTACATATTTCTAGTCTAAACTGGTTGTGGTGTTTTTATATAAATGTTGGGAAAACCCCTATAATATAACGTAAAAAAAGGGTCATTTTGACATTTTCATATCAAATTTTCCCATATTACTTAAAATACAACATACATGTGATTAAAAATGAACAAAGCAGATAGGTTTTTATACTGTAAAATATTAGAAAATAAGTTTAAGATGAATCAACATGAAAGATGTGTTCAAGTTTCACAAAATGTGTAAAAATATATTTTTATTCCTAATGATAGCAATGCATTTTAAAACAAATCTAAACATAAAAATTAGAAATGGGTTCTTTAAAATGACAAGTTTGCACATTTGTCTCAACCTCTTAAATATATCTTACTGTATTTGAGCTGAAATGTGGCATGTTTGAGAAAAATATTAAAACATTTGTTTAAACTGTAGGCGTTTTAAAATGCGGCTTAAATAAAGATGCTGATCAAACAAAAAGATTGACAGATTCTTTCTCAGCTAGCTTGAGTAAAAATATGTAAGTTTGAACTTTAGTGAAACACCTAAAATTAAATAAACGAAGGATGTATTTGTGTGGTTTTATGTAGTTTGAGGTAATTTATGGAATTAAAGGCTGTCCAGTTATTTTAATGGTGTAAATATCAGCACATTTATTTCTTTGTCAAAAGTTCTTTTTTTTAAGAACTCAGACTCTGTTTTTATTAGAAAGATGAAAAAAAATGACCCTTTACATGACCTTGTTATTGCTTTAATCAGCCTGTTTACAGCAAATTTAATACATTAAACATACACTGAAAAAAGTCCAATATTAAAAACTAACTAAAAATGGTTCGATACCACAATAAAAAAAGCACATGTTCATTTCAAGCTGTTGAGGAACTTTGCGTGCTCTTCCCCTCGAGGTTGAAGAAGTTCTCCGCCGATCTTTGGTCCCGTTTTCTCCTAAAAGAGAAAAAGCAGAGAATCAGATCTGATTTTATTTTCTTTGGTGCTTTTCTGGAGTTCTGGGACTTACCTTCAGCATTCCGTCACGCTCCCATTTAAACAGGCCGCAGTTGCTAAAATAAATAAAGCAGAAACAAAGCGTTTTTTACCAGAACGGAGGGTTTAGATTCCCGTCGGCCGGCAGCATTCTTTACCTGCAGTGTTTGTGCGGCAGCCTGTCCAGAGCAATGGCCCTCTGTCCACAGGGACACTTGAAGAAGCGCTTCATGGCGTCGTGCCACCGCAGCTCGTGGTTCTCGTTCACGCAGCGATCTGCCGGTTTAAAGTAGGTGTAGCTGCACTGGAAGGAGCAGAACGGAGGGAATTCAGATCTTGACGTCACAAACGGAGGCGTCCATTACAGCAGGAGAATTCTCTACCTTCTTACAGGTGACGGCCCGACACTTCATCTCCCTGATTCCCTTCATCTTCTCCTCCATCTGCTCCTTCTTCACCAAGGCGTTGAAGTAGCGCTCCTGCAGCTGGTACTCGGCCTGCGGGGGAAACAGGAAGTGACCTCGGTTATCTGTATCCGTAGTGAAAAGATGCAAGGATAAAAAGACGCTTGTCGTACCGCTTGCAGCACCGTCCCGTGACGAGATTTGGCGTTGAGGATCTTCTGGAACTCCTCGGACTCAATGAAGCGAAGCTGTTCGCGTTTCTTCTTCAGGGCCGGCTCCTCCTCTTCCTCCTTACCGGACTCGCCTTTGCAGGAAAAGATAAAAAAGGAAAATGATTTTTATCTGTGTTCTATGTTTGGGAGATAAAATAGAAACGGTCCGCACCGCTGGGCGAGGTCCGGTTCTTCTCCACCCGGGCGCTGATCTCACTGCTGTCACTCCTCTTCCTCTTCATAGCGTTGGGGTCTTCCCTCTCCAGCGCCGCTCCTTTGGCCCTCAGCTTCCTCAGAGCGGCCAGCTTAGTGGCCGACAGACTGGGGGGCGGAGCCTGAGGCGGGCTGTGGTCGAAGAACAGGATGTCGTCGCCCTCGGAGAAGCCGCGGCCCAGGGTCGGGGCGTGAGGCGTCGCCGGGCTCCCCGTCACCTTGGGGACCTCGGAGGCGGCCTTCGGGGACGTCAGGGCGGCGCCACTCGGCTTCTGCAGCTCCCTCTGCTCGGCTCGCAGTCGGCGACTCTGGAGGAGCTCCCGCTGCTTCTGTTTCTGCTGCTTGAGCAGGTCGGACGCGGTGATGGACTGAAGCGGCGCTTTAGATGCATCCTTGGTGCCTGAAGACAAAGAGTATTAAGGTCTGGTCTCCTCGCAGGCTGCAGTAGAGAGGACGTATACCAACCTAGGTGGCTGTCCTGTTCCAGGCGTTTCTTCAGTTGCAGAGCTCCTGGCGTCGGCACCGACATCAGGCTCTTAAATTCATCAGAACATCCGGAAACTTCCCCGGACTGCAGAGCTGCGCACCATCAGAGGAAACGTTCAGCGATGCATTTACTGAACCTTTACTGACGTAGAGAGCGGCCTGCTTACCCAGCCTCCTGGCCGGACCCGGCTGAGCAGATCCTCTCACTAACATCTTGTCCAGAGTTCTCTGGGTCGGTTTGTTGGGTTTGGACGCTGTCCTGAAAAAATGCTTGTTGCTTATCACATTCCTGCCGGCTTTTCTAAAAACACTCCCTGGTTGCTAAGCTCAGCTCAGGCTTAGCTCTGGTTTAACGCTAGAAATGCCTCCATTTGTCTGCAGCTTCTCTCTAAAACCGTTTCCTGTCTGCCTACTTTCAAAAACACTACGATAAAGGTCACTAGAGCCTAAAAATAATCAAAAACAACAGGAAATTCTTCCTTCTGCACATCTAGAAAAGCTACTTCTATCAACCTCAGTCTGAAAGAATGGAGACTAAACAGAATTTTAGCTCAGATTCTTCTTTAGACTTTGACTAGGCCACTTTAACAAGAGAATACACAATACCGCCACCACCATGTTTCCCACTGGTTAAACCAACGCTAATATGAGCAGAGTTCTTACAACCAGGGAGTCGGTGGGGATGGGAGTTGAATCATCACTCACAGGGAGGCGGCGCAGGCGGCGGAGGAGACGCCACCGTAGTAAAAGCCATCCTGACACAGCCGCTCTCTCAGGCTGCCACCCTTCACCCTGTTGGGGGCTTTTCCAGAGAAGGACGACTGCAGCTCGGCCCTCTTGGAGCTCATCTTCTTGTACTGGGCTTTGACGTGGTACTGGCAGTACTGGCACTCGTACTGCAGGGGAAAAAAGGCGGTGAGCTTTAGGCTGCCGTTTAGGACGGAGGTTAAGCTGCAGAGAAACGATGAGCCACCATGTTGACGATCTGAGAGCACGGCTCGCCGCTCTTCTTCACAGCCTTGCAGGTGCCGTAGTCCAGAGCTTCGCCCATCAGCAGAACCTTCTGAGGATGGTCCACCGTCAGACTGACCTGCAGGACATCAGAGGAGTCAGAGCCGCCGCAGAGCGCCGCTAACGGACACCCAGAGGGAGGGAGGACTCACCCCGTCGTAGCCGTCCTTCTGCTTCATGGGGTTGGGGTTCAGGAGTCCCACCACGACGCCGGGCTCCGTCTTCCACAGCTCCTTGTGGACGTCGCCAAACAGCAGCAGAGACACAAACACGTCCAGGTCATGGAGGTCGTTCAGCTTCCAGATGCTGAAGGTTTTGCCCTGCGGGAAGGGAGAGCCAGGTTGATGTGAGAACAGCCATGCGGAGGATCGGCGGCGGCGGGGAACACCTACACTACTGCTACTCTGCGGCGTGGCTTTGTGGACCAGCACGGCAAACGTCACCCAGTCGCTGTCCTCCAGCTTCTCCCGCTTCAACCGCTCCGGAACCTGGGACAGCCGGATCAGCCGCCGGTCGGCCATCTTTCGCTCCATCTCACTGGAGGAGACCCGCGGATTCCTGACATCAGAGAGGAGCGTTGATTTAGAACCAGGAGGAACGAACGGCACTCCAGCATTGGTTCGTGGTTCTGACCTGAGGCGAAGCCCGGAGAACTTCTCCACTCCCACATCTTTAGGAACCGGAGGCTGGGCCGGTCTAGGCGGTGCGGCTGCTACAGGCTTGCTCTTCGAGGGCTCGCCGCTGCCCTCCGGTGGTCGAAAAGAGCTGCCGATCTTTACCTCCATCAGCGGCCTCCTATCCTCTGAAGAAAGAAAAAGGCTCCGTCAGCATCGGTTCCCAGAGGGGAACGGATTTGGAGAAAAGCAGGAAGGTTCTACCTGGAGGTTTGGGCTGGTGAGCCGTTCTGGGTTTACGTTGGAATGAATCCGCATTGCTGAGCTGAGAGAAGAAGTCCGAGGATTCCTGCAGCTTGACGCCGGTTCCACTGAGCGGAGCCGATGAAGACGCCGCCGCTGAAGGAAGGAAAAAGAGTGAGCTGAAGGTCACCAGACCCGGCTATTCTAAGCATCAAACTGCAGCGGTGAAATGATCAAAGGTCGACCTCAGGGCTTTAACGAAGAACCGCTGGGAGGAAAATACGAATTCAGGGAATCAAAAGAACTATAAAAACAAGGTTTTTCAGCATCATCAGGCCTCCTCCAAGTCATTTCCGACATGCGATACTTTCCTGCATTTGCTCACTCAGCAGCCAAACTTCCATCACTGCTCTCCTCCATTCGCCTTTTATCATTAATGTTTGCTTCATTTGCTAATAAAGGCTTATTTTCTGTGTTACATTTTTTATCATAGTTATCATTTTCATTTTGTTAATGGAGGAAGAAAAAGCGACACTGGCTGCAAGAATAAATTCAAAAATAGCAGCAGGACAAATCAGTGACCAGAATAATCAGTATCCTCCATAAAAACTAACATAATAACCTATATGTACTTTTTAGCTGCTGCTATTTTCTTTCCTCCCTTTACATGATAAAAAATATATCAGATGTTACACAAGATTCAACTAAAATCTAGGAAACAATCAAACTAAACAGTGGAGAACTAAATGCTTGTTTGGTAGCAGTTACTAATTTAGTTGCCGCGGCATTTAAAACGGTTCCATGGAACCGCTGCAGATGCTGAGGAGACAGTGAGCGATGCTGCTGCAAGATTGTCAGTTTTCAGGCCCCTGCAGTGACTTTTTTAAGGTCTCTGGTGATTTTTTTTCAAAGTTAGAATAGAAAATCCCCTTATTGTCCCACAATGGGGAAAAGAAGTTGTTGGTGAGGTTGGTGACATCATCGATCGGCCTAGAGCTAAATGTTCTCAGCGAGCTCTCAGTGCTGCTGCCTTCCTGCCATTCCACTGTGGATCCATATTTCAAATGACACATGCAAAGCTGCCAAGGATCCTGTCTGATGTTAATATGCATCCATTTTTTTTTCTGAACCGTTGTTGCACTAAAATATCTGCTTGAAGAGAGAAGCCAGAGGGCTGCTGTGTCTGCAGAATCGCATCACATCTGGATAATTATTGAAACTTTCTTCTCATTGTAGAAGTGCTTTTTGTTTCTCTCATATCATCGTCGCTTTATTCTTTCAATAGTATGACTTTGATCTTATTAGAAATGTCTCAGCATGGCTCCATTTGGTTCAGGTTAGGGAAAAGTGATGAAATGTTTTCTAAAGTTATGTTCAGTGATGCATCTGTTTTTTTATAGCCGTTCAAAATGGACGACATCAATGGAGAGCTGGGTCTGTTTACCTGCTTGTAGTTTAGGTTTCCCCTGGCTGGGTTTGGACCCCGGCCGCCGGCTCGGTGTTGGTTCTGACCTCCCTGCTTTGGGTGAAGCGGCGCTCTGCTGGCTGGCCTCCAGCTGCTGCTGCAGCTTCTGCATCTGCTCCTGCATCCGCCTCAGCTCCTCTGGAGGAAGAAGCAAACACCCATCAACAAAGAAACCAAAAAAACCGAACCTAAACCGACTGACGCCCATCAAACCTCGTAAATCCTCTTTGGACCCGTTCAAGTCCTCGCCAGCATCTCTCTCGCCTCCTTTCCCTTTTTCATCCTCCTGTTCAATGTCGTCGACATCCCCAAAGAGCTCAGACACTTCCTTCTCTTTGGCCGCCGCCTCCTCTTCGCTGCCCTCGTTATACTCTTCCTCATCCTCATCGAACAGACCGTCCAAATCGTCCGCCGGTTCTCCGTTGCCTCGTACTTCGCCCGCGTTTTCATTCTCCTCCAGGAGCGCCGTCAGAATGTCCAAGTCATCCTCACCTGAGCAGAACAAAAGAAAAAGACTTTAATTTTCCAAAAAAAGAAGAGAAAACTTCAATTCAATAATGAATGTTAAAGTTACTTAAACTTACTGTCCATTTTAGAGGTGCGGATTTCAGATGCCAATTCTGATAAAAGAAAACTGCAAAACATAATCAGTTAATCTGAGGATATTTGAAGAAAAAAAAATTGGGCAATCCAGAAATGAAACTTTTTAAATAAGAGTAAATTAGCCTTTTTTCCCCCAGATTTTAATTTCACAACATTTTTTTCCCAATTCATTTTTAATATTTTATTATTGCTACTTTTTTATTTATTTTCTTTTCCAAATTGAGTTTTTGAATTGTATTCTCTTAAAACAATGTTTTCCAGATCAAATTCTCTTTACATCTGCGAGCAGGGTTTCTTTTGAAAGATAAAATAAAAACTTTGCTATATAAAATCCGTAAAAACATTTTTTGAAAAAAAAAAACAAAAACAAAAAAACACAATTAGAGCAATAAACAAAGCTGGAAAAAAATCTGAGAAAACAGCAAAGATCTTCATAATATCTTCTTACAATGTTTATTTCTGGATTGCATATTTTATTCAAATTTCCATTTACAAAATATGTTCTTTGCGACAATAATGGAACAAAATTCACTCCATATAACTTGTGTTTGGGCCCAAACCCGTAAAGAAGAAATTAACTGAGACATTACAGGTTTAAAAGGCTAATTGCTAACAAATGTAGTTAAAAAAGATGAGGCAAAAAACGTGTATTTACTATCGTGGATATATTCAAACTAAGAAAATAAACACAATAAAACAAACAAACAAAAAAAGAAATAAAGTTTCAACTACTAGATTCTTACCTCCTTTCGTAGCTGTTCGACTTCCTGATTCGTCCTTCTTCTGCCAACACTAAACTAAATAAATAGATCGCTTTGTTTTATGTGATTAAAGTCCTAAAATTCCTATCATAGCCAGGAAATCATTTATTTTATTTAGAGAATCCACTGAACTGCTTCCACAGAGAGAAAGAGGGAAATGGAGAAATCCAATCTGGCGCTAAACGAAGGACCCCACTGTGTTGTCAAAGAGCTGCAGGGTGTCCAAGGATTTGCCTAAACAGAAAGAAAAGAAAAAGAAAGATAAAGAAAGAAAAAATAAATATATACATGAAATAATAATTATCGTTTTTGTATGGAAGCCAGTTTCCGCCACTCTGTAAAAAAAAAAAAAAAAAAAATATCTCATTATAATGAGATAGTAACTCAATATATTGAGTTATTATCTCATTATAATGAGATAGTATCTCATTATAATGAGATAGTTTTTTTTTTTTTTTTTTTACAGAGTGGCGGAAACGGGCTTCCATATTTTTGTATGTGTACATTTTGTATATTGAATTTTGAACGGCTAAAGCTGCCCTGTTACAAGATAAACAATTTTAATGCAGAGTGACAGTTAAATTTCCCAGTTTTTGCCATTCAAAATACAATATAGATGTAAAAACGCTAAAAAAAAAAAAAAAAAACATATGATAGCACAAAAAGGCTCGAGTCATATCAAAATTTCTAATCAGATTATTTTTTTTATTAACCTTTGAAATTACCTACCCATTTATATGATTGATTTTTAACAATGTAAATGTTTTTTAGTTAAGCCAAAGCTTTATATTTATATAAACATATTTCATTCATATGGATATCAATATCTAAGGGGTGAATGTTGAAAATAATTTAACATTTTATTAATAGAATAAATTAATCTTTAATCAATAAATGTATAAATTTTGATTAAAAATCAAAGAAACCCTTTACATGGAATTTTTTTTTTTCAATTTGATTTCTACATAGATAAAGTATTGACTGCTCAGTGACACACAGATAGCACTGCACGGTCATCCAAACACATGACTGTTAGGTTACTCCGCTTGTCTAAATTCTCCTTAGCTGTGAATGTGTGTGTGTGTGTGTTAATGGTTTGTCTCTGTGTTGCCCTGCAATGGACTGGTGACCCGTAGACAGCTGGAGATAGGTACCAGCACCCCTCCCTCCACGCTTAGGATAAGCATGATGGAAAATGGATGGATGGATAAAGTACAGGTAAAGTATTATGTTATGTATCATTTATAAATACTTTAAATCAGATTTCCTCAGATTTTTCCCTTGTGTGATTATGAGCAGTTTTTCAAAAATTACTTTTTTAATGTTGATGGTCCTGTTTTTTTTTTTTTTTTTAATCAATCCTCTTAGCACCGATCCATTAAGGTTCCCCCTGCAGATGGAAGGCCCCCCTTGGGGATGGCCTCTCGCCACGTCATCAGGCTTGGTCCGATCGGGTCCCTAGGGAACTAAGCCGACCCCCAGTCACTCTCCCACAAACCTCGACCCCAGGCCTGGCTCGAAGTTGAGGTCGCGGCTCTATCGCACCAGGCGACGTCCCCTTCCCTTGATGTTTTTGTTCTGCTCTTTGACCAGTCATCCAGTGCCTGTTTGCATTGGGAGACCTTACCAGGATCATTTAACCACTGAAAACATAACATCTGGGATAATTCAAACACTCAAACCCCTCATCAGCTCCTCCAAGGCCCAATACACCTCTTTGCCCTACTTCTTAGTCCTACACCTACATTTTGCACATGCTAATGAGGGTAGTAGTGTTTGAGTTCCTCTTTGCACATAGGGGTTGTGGACATAATGAGGGATATAACTCTAGCTATTAAAAACAAGAAATTTCATATGCTGACTTGCTGGGGAAGGGCCAGAGCTGTTGGGGAGTCAGCGCACCACAGCGGGAGACAAGGCAGCTGCCTGCCACTGCTAGCTCAGGAGGAGAGCGGGGAAGCACAGTGGTAGATCGTGGAAGCCAGCAGGGAGAGGCTACAGCTGACCAGAGCTAACTAAAGACCAGCTTCTGAGCCAGGGGTCACCAATATGGGGCCCGCCAAACTGCAAAAAATTTGACTCTAAATAAGTCTTTTTTTCTTAAAATAAGTGCATTTTGTCTTGAGTGGATACTTTGCCGATGGAACAAGAAAATGTACATGCACATATTTAAAAACACTAATTCCATTGGCAAATCATCTTATTTACCTACTAAAATTAAAGATAAATACACTAGATTTCAGAAATGCTTACTTATTTCTAGATCGTTTTGCCAGTGCAGCACCAATTTTTTCAAAATTTTGGGAAAATATTGTCTGATAAAGAGTACATTTATACACGTTTAAGCCCGAATGATTTGACATTTAAATATGATTTCCCTACGACTTTAAAAATATAATGTACAAAGTAGGTGAACACTGACTCCTCCAGTTCATGGTCATTACTGGTCCCCTTCCTATGACTCTGTACCCCTGAAGTAGCCCTCAGCCCTGGGGGTTGGTGACCCCTGGAGATGTAAGGAGTACAGCAGAGGCTCATCGCCTCCTGCTGGCCAGAGAGCCCCACAGCGGTCAGCAGTGTGTGCTAGAGGTAACAGTCCTCCTTGGGCTAAATTAAAATGGCTTTTTTAAAAGACACCTTAAAAACTCTTGATAGAATTCCCCACTTCATCCTTTGGAAATATAATTTTTCTCCATCTTCAATTATGATTTAAACCAAACGGCCTCTGTAATTTCATCCGGTGGTTTTATAACTAGTAGATTTAGATCACAATAGAAATTTTCAGCTGGGTTTAATAATCACTTTTAAAGATTAATCATACCTGATAATGGAAAGGATATAGTTAAAAAAAAAAAAGCTCAACTTAATCGCCTTTTTACAGGTTCAATGTTTTTTTTGTGTTTTTTTTAAAGACGCTTCGTCCCCTCTCTTATGGTGGCCCATATCTTATGTATGTGCATAACTGACATGAAATCCAGAGTACCAGAACATAAACAATGCAACGAGGGGTGTCCCAACTCCAAGGGAAGATTAAGAAGCGCTGACCATTGTAGATTCAATCCCAGGGTGTGAGATTAAGGGCTAGTGGCTGAAAGTAAGGGACTTACTGGGATGGTGCCCTGAGTCGGAGGTTTAGAAGTTGTTTATTTGGACTTAACAGATGCAACTAGTTCAATGCAAATAAACTCAAGAGGGATATTTAAGTTTTATAGGACTTTCACAGAGTAATCGTGGGCTGTAGACGATTCAATGATAGTATTAAAAGATAAAACAATTTTTTTTTATAATTTTATTTATTTTACATCCAAGCCTGTGAAACCTCCCTAGAATCCAGAGCAGACAGAGAGCCAGGGGTCTAGTTGATGCAGTCCATGGTGTGGACCTGCAGGGAGTCCAGGTCTGGGAGCATCTCATTGCACTTGGGGCAGGCGTGTTCAGGAATGTTCTCCTGGCTCCAGTCCGCACCTGAGGATGACAGACCTCATTAAATCCACTTATTATTAAAGGGAGAGTGTTCTTGATTAACCATCCATCTATGTTGTGTAGCTCTACATGAGCTAGAGGGAAACTAATCATTTATCAGCTTACCTCTTTCTACCAGACTTGGATCAGGTCCACGTGGGCTCGCTCCAGCAGATCCATGTCTGTGCTGCATTTCATTCAATGAACACCTAGAGGTCAATGCGACAGGATCAGGCTTGACATCAGGCTACTACATCATCTAAACCCAAGGACCCACAATCTCCTCCGATAATGTTTGTCTAATAAAATAACCACAAATGTAGACAAAACTGGTCAATCATTCAAAGTATCCTGGCTTGGTCAAACTTCTGCAGTGCACCATCTCACCACAGGGGTTCCTCAAGGATCAGTACTGGGACCTCTTTCTCTTTGCCACATACACCACCATGCTGGGCCACATTATTCAATCACATGGTTTCTCATTCCACTGCTATGCTGATGACACCCAGCTCTGTCATTTCCACCCCATGTCTCCCTGACATATCTTAATGGATGAAAGACCATCACCTCCAACTGAATCTCTCAAAAACTGTACTGTTTGTTTTTCCAGCCAAACCAGCCAAACACCACAATATTCACATCCAGACATGATCTTCATCTCAGACTCCATCAAAATCAGCAAGAACTTTGGGTGTCATGATTGACGACCAGCTGACCTTTAAAGGTCCTGTTACCTCTGTCTATCTAACTTGTCGCTTCACACTACTAAACATAAGAAAGATCCAAGAAATATCAAACAAACAAAAAAACAATGAATTTATAAGAGTTTTTTTGTTCTAATTCTAATTTTATAAAAATCAATAATTCTAACTTAAATTAAGTTAAAATATGTAAAAGTCCTAAATTATGAATGTATACTGACCTAACATTAAAAAAAATAGCTTTATTTGTTTTTTTTAGATACATATATAGCTAAAGGATTTTTATTATTATTTTTAACGCTAATCCAAATAAATATTATAAAGCCAAAAATAAATATTTTCAGTTGCAAGACATATAATATTAATTAAACCCAATTAAATGGAAATTTTAATTCATGCAGCTCTTTGTTTTTGTTTCATGCTTTTCTGTGCCCCAATGAAGACACGCTGGCCCCCCATGGCCTCCTGGTACATTTGGTCTAAAACCGCCACTTTCTATCCCTCTTTGCTGTCACCACTGATTCTGATTAGGGATTTTCCTCTAGAGAATTTACTGTGATATCGACGATTACAGTAAAACTGTGTCTACTTTGTAAGTCGTTCTGGATAAAAGCGTCAGCTAAATGCATAAACATAAACAAAACACAATTTATTGGTCAGCTGAGCTGAACGCGAGTGAAGAGACGGCATACCAGGTCAATTTCTTTATCTGCTGCTGCAGCTGCATGTTCCGCTTCTGAAGCTCCTCCAGCTGAGCAGCTACACACTCCTTCTCCTCATGGAGCCTCTCCTTTGCTTCCCGCTCTGCGTAGAAGTCTGCGGAGAAGGCATCAGCCTGCAGACCTCACAGAATGAGACATTTAAAAAAACTGAATCTAGGTGTTGAACAATCAACCCGTAGTTAACAAAGACTGTCATCCATTCGTTTCATCTGCCGTTGCAAAGAGAAGCCACCTCTTGCTGAGGTTTTTTTTATTGCCATATAACAGCAGCGATTAGATACTGAGGTCAGAGTATTGACCCATGACACCTGCTTGATTTAGGGTTTATGAACATGTGCACCAACCTGGACCTTTAAGACAGCAATAGTTTCTAGCTCTTTCTCCTTTTTGAAAAGCTCTTGCTTGATCTCATCAATCTTCTTCTGTTTGTCAGCCAGCGCTTCTTCCGCAGTGGTCAGCCGATGCTGCAGCTCCTCATTCTGGAGGGTGGCTGTTTCCAGGGAGAGCTGGGTTTCCCTGAGTTGGTTCTTCAGGACCTGCTGCTCCTGTTTCTGTTTTTCCTTCCAGGCAGACAAGTTCTTTAAACACTCCTTCATGGTCTGGTTGTTCTGACAGACAGCGACTAGGGGAAAACATTTCAAACACAACAGATCTTCAAACTAATTCATGGCTCCGGCTGGTTTTTGGCTAAAAACCAATAGGTGCTGGAATCAGATCAGGATAAAATATACAAAAATTACTTTGTTCTAATGGAAAAAAAAGAATGAGAACAACATCAGTGTTTTCCAAATAAAGGAGAAACTAGGTTCTAATTCATCTATTGCTTTGCAAAATATCCACATTTAAGGTTAAGCAGTTATTTTTTATCTTACACAGAAGACTTCTATTTTTTATTGACAGCTTATGGTGAATACATTAACTAAAATGTCAAATTAAAGTCGTGGGGAAGACCCATTGGGAACCTACTAGCACCAAGTTGCTAACTGGTTAGCAAGATACTTCCGACAAACAGGCCACAACCAAATGCTTGCGAACTTTCCGCCACAACAATCCCGCCCCTTTGATAATCGACCAATCAGATTCACTTTATTCATTCCTTTAAAGTCGGACACCACTTCGGAGAATTCTGAGGAATTCTGGAACAGTTGGAACAGCCGCTTCCATATGACTTTCAGCTTCTTTCCCACTGTAAATACCGGCTAACGCGGGTTTTTCAAACACGGGTTGACCTAACAATAATTTTTCTCCCTTCACATCGGCAAATAAAGCTGGATCTAATAACACACCTCCTCTGTTGACACCATAATGCTCGGTTAGCGTTGATGGAGTCACCAGTGTGACAGAAAATCAGGAAAGTAAACAATGGAGAGCAGCATATGTCCATATGTTGCACTCAGTGGCATCATGTAAATTAGCAGGTCGACCCGGGTCTGGTTTTCCCTCAGCATGCTGATCAGAGCTGAGGTGATTTTAACGCGGGTTGATTGCCGAGTCGTTTAAACCCGGGAACAATCGGCTTTTAGTGGCAGTGGGAACGCCTCACTGACCGTGTCGATCCGGGTCAAACAGGTTTTTCGGCCAGTGGGAAAGGGGTATTAGTTAGGATGCTCCACTTGTTTGTATCACTGTTGCCACATTCTGGTTTAGAAGAGAACGGCTTAATGTCAGAGGAGTGGCTAAAGATTATCTAGGAGAGGACATGGCAGCTATTGGCCACCCTTTAGCTCCACCATTTTTTACTGTTAAACTGTGTGTTGCTGCCCTACTCATCTCTGATAGGAGCTTATCCTGAGCAGGGCTAAATAAAAGCCAGTACTGGTCCTGAAAAAACATTAATGGAAGCATTTTTTCCTGTTCATTATCAACTATAGATTCTCCATCTACAACCAAAACAAGCCGACACAAATAATCAATCAATCCGATCTTTTCTCACCTTTCATGTTTTGGTTCAGCTCAGTCAGGATGCTCACATATCTCATGGTCTCATCCAGCTCCTTGGGCCATTTAGGAGAGCAATATAAGTCACTAATTGTCTCAGGGACTCCAGACGCCATCATGCCTAGAGGAAACAGTCAGGTCTTAGAAACACGTCTTCGGTTGAAAGAATTTATAGTCTCATAGATTTACAGTACTGAGTCATTTCAGGTCTGCAATCCCCAGACCCCAGGAACTAAACTACCAACTCTAAATCTGTTGATGTTGATGATAAAGACATACCGGTACTTTTAAATAATGTTCAAACTCTCGGGACTCTACAGACATCACATAGATGCCTTTATCCTGAGAAGATCACTTCCTTTCTTATGCACTTCCCTCAGAGGACTTTCACCTTAATCCATTTATGTTTTCTGTAACATTGTCTTACTTTAGTATCCGTATGCCTCACTGCTGCTCTAGTTTGTGATTTGGGCTAATCTTTTCAAAACAGAGCTTTGATTATTTCATCGGTTTGGATTTCTTACGCTTTCTTTGCAAACTCGTTTGCTTTTTTTATTTTCCGCCACATCATCATGTGAATAGAGATAATTTTTTACCTTTTTTTTTCTATTATTATCATTATAATTGTTGAAAGCAAACATGGTTTGTAAACATAACATTTTCAAAAAAATGAATAAATAAAATTCTTTGGGACAAATTAAATAGTTTTGATATTAACTTCAGATAAAAAAATTTCTAAATGTGTTTTTTGTGCTTGAGTTCATAATATTTTCATATTTGTCAGCTTTATTCATATTAATCTGCTTTTTATACATATTTCTTTTTTCAAATTTAAATTTACTTTCATTTCAGTTTTTAATTGTATTTTATTTTTTATATTTTTATTCAGATTGTTTAAAAGTTCAGTTTAAGCAACTGGACGTGAAGTTTTCTAGAAGATGTTTTTGCTCTCATCCAAGAGGCTTCTCCAGTTCTAACCATTAAACCTATAATATATTAATCCCAGCGCTCCCTTTTATCAAAAACAAAACTCCCTCGTCAGAATGGTTTCAGCCTCATTGAAGCGTGAGTAAAGTGAGGGCAGGTGAGAAGTGACTTTTCTTATTATACTAATAGTGATTTATAAGGAGGTGAAAGGTTATCCAAGACCACCTCCTCTGTTGAGTTTTGGTTTTTCCAGGTTAACAAAGAAAACTTTACTTTCAGTTGCCTAAACTGAACTTTTCAAGCTTGACTAAGACCTGGATGACCGGGAATCTTCACAGATATGTTCAGATTTATTTATTTTTTAACATTTTTGTCCAACTTTTCAAAAGTTTTTATATTTTTCCACATTTTTTTAATCATATTTAAGTTTGTTGTTTTTTCAATTTCTTTCATGTTTTAGTTTTTTAATCACTTTTGTTTTCAATTCTTTCTGTATTTTCCTTTTTTCCCCCAAAATTTCCCCTTTATCCTTTATTTTTATCACTATTTTGTCTGCAAGTAATTATATTATTTCTTCTAAGTTCCTGTCTTTATTTTCTATTTGTCAAATTTGAGTTTTGTTAATTACAATCTTATCAAATTCCCCTTTGCAGATCACATAAATCTGTGACATATTTGGCTCTGCATGGCTGGGCTATCAGTAACTCCATCAAACTCTTTCTTACCCCAGAGCTCTGAATGCTTCTCCCTCAGACACGCCACCCTGTTTGTTCCAGCAGATTCTCTGCACACCTCATCCAGGTGACAGCAGCTCAACCAGAGCCTGTTTATCAGCCACAAACTGGAATCAGCTGAGCTGAATGCAGGTTATTGAGTCTTTAGGACCCAGTTAGGAAAACTCTGCTCTTCCTGCTTCCAATAACAGCTTATATTTCTTCAAAACCTCATTGCAGCTAAAAACAACAATGAATCATAATGTGTGTTACTGTAACCAACTACCAAATATCTCACTTTGTAGTGAGATATTTGCTGCGTTTTTTTCTTGTTAAAGGCAACAGAAACATACAAAGTGTGAAGATGTCGCCCCCTCCTGGCCATATTTAACATTGTCCATTTTCAACTAGAGTTCTTCAATTTGCAGCAACAGAAAAACCTTTCATTCAACTGCTACTTATTAGTTTAAACATATGTCATCCCTTTTATTATTCCAATTATGGCAAAAAGGGGACAAAGACATAGATTTTGACATAAATGGTAATCTTACTCTGATCAAAAGCGTTACAGAAGTCAGCGCCCGGACTCTCAGTTAAAGACTCCAGTCTGCCACATCACCACATCATAAAGATTTTATGAGTTAAAAGTGAAAAGATATTAATATGCTTCTTAATAAAAGGGTTCCAATATTCTGATAAATATATAAAAACTGATTAATTGCTCAAAATAATCCAACAGAACTAGTAAAACCAAAACTAACTGCCTCTAAACTGATGCAAACGTTTTATAGGACTAATAAATCCATCAATGACTGAAGATGGTTTGATTCAGAATGTTTTTAAAAGATTAAATAAGACAGATATCCTTTCAATAAAAGTTTATTTCATTTTTCACACGGATCCATGTCTTTAAAGCCTCCATGTCAAACAAATTCCTTTTACACATTCTGATCAGACGGCAAAAAACCAATTATGGTCTTAGAGTCGATAAATACAGATTAAACACCCTTAGAAACCACATACTTGGTCATTTAGGAGGTAGGCCACATTTCAGTTCTGATGGAAACCCAGGAAGCTTCTCATATTCTTATATATTCTTTAATTCAACCAAATACCATTTAAATGAACCACTAACTAAAAGCAGTTTATATATATATATATATATATAAATATATACGTTTACATGCGGACCTCTGACATAAAGGTTCCCTCTGCTTTGTTTTGCAAAGCTCAGTAGCTTTCGTTGTGAGGAAGATGTTAGCAGGACAGGAGGAAGCATGTAAATGAAAACCAAAACCTAGTTGGCTGGATTCTGCAGTAAGATGTTTAATATTCAGCATTTTCTAACTGTTATCAGCTGGCATTTTCCCTCCAGCGTGCTGCTAAAAGGAGACAGAGGTGCTATTTATGGGTCATTAAACATCTGATGATGTTCTGACTAGATCTAAAAAAAAAAAAAGTGGTTTTCTTTGCTAAACTTAAACTCGAACTTAAAAAAAAAAAAAACATTTGAAATAAGTTGTTCGTTAAAGCCCAGGTGTTTGAGTGTTGGGATTGTTCACAAACCATCATTTGGTTTAGGATGCTCTCTGCTTAATAATGCAGATAATCAGCCTAGCTTGATGAATAAAGCCCCTTTAGACAGATCTGTTCCTGAAAAACTGAACGGAGAAGTTGGTATCGTGAAAAGAGGGCATGAGGGGGTGGAAGGCGAGGAAGACTCAGGCGAAGCTGGGAGTCTAGTTGATGCAGTCCATGATGTGGATCTGCAGGGAGTCCAGGTCTGGGTGGATCTCGTTGCACTTGGGGCAGGCGTGTCCAGGAATGTTCTCCTGGGTCCAGTCGGCCCCTGAGGATGACAGACCTCATTACATGCATCTATGTTGCATAGCTCTACGACAGCTAGAGGGCAGCTCATCATTTATCAGCTTACCTCTTCCTACCAGACTTGGGTCAGGTCCACGTGGACTCGGAGCAGCAGATCCGTGTCTGCGCTGCATTTCATTTAACGAACGCCTAGAGGTCAATAAGACGGAATCAGATAAATCTGGACATCCCGCTGCTACCTCATCTCAAGCCTTAATGAGATATCCTCTCTGATAAAAAAACCACTAGATGGAGACAGAGAGCAGTTTACCGGCCCAGTGAGTCCATCTCCTGCTGCAGCTGCGTGTTCTGCTTCTTCACGTACTCCAGCTGAGCAGCCAGACGCTCCCTCTCCTCGTGGAGCTTCTCCCTCGCCGCTCGCTCTGCGTAGAAGTCTGAGGAGTAGACCTCTGCCTGCGGGCGGCACAGAACCAAAGCAGCTTTTGAATAAGGGTCATCTTACGCTAACAGCTACACTTAGGCAACATTCACACTGCAGCCTGAAGTGACTCAAATCCAGTTTTATTGCCATTAGGCGAGCTTTATCTGATCTTTTCATGACAGTCGAAAAACACAGATCTGATCTTTTCAAATGTGACCTGTGTGTGCACGGCATTACGCCATTAATACCCACCATAGGTCACTATTCTGCATCCTGCTGCCATGGCGAATGATAATGAGAACAGTCTTGTTGATCACTACATGAGCTCCAGCACTACCATCCATTTTTATTTCCGTAACACAGAGCACGCTTGCCTGTGACATCAGTGCGTCCTCTACTGTGCACGCGGGACACTTGTTTGAATGCAGTTTACACAGGAGATCACATAATGCATGGTTGAAATGTAAACAACCATGCAAAAGAATCGGATTTGACAAAAATAGAATCGAAATTGAGCATTAATGCCTGCAATGTGGACGTAGCCTTAGTGGCTTTGTGATGAAACAATGGCGTCCTGCTGGTGAAATGGATTGAATTTCTGTTTTTATGCTGAATTTTGCAGTAAACTGAAGGGTATTTGTTTTGTTTGGGCTCAAAACGGACTAAGTAAACACTATCAGACATGCATCGCTTGATTTTAACATCTATGTTCATTGTGTTTTTTTTTTTTTTTATATGGACAATAAGTCCTGTGATGAAATGTCTTTACTGTATTTTGCTCTCTGCTGAGGACCGAACCCTCCTCTGTCCTCATCTGATCCATGAGACGGGGCGATCGGGTTTATTTACAACAGATGACAGAGAAAAAAAGAGAGCTCTGCTAAAAAAGAAACCAGAGACCACCTTTGGAGGCGGAGCGTAACAGAGGGCGACTCCTTCCTGTTTCAACAGCTGATCTTTAGGTTCTTTATACTGTTTGATAAACAGAGGCTGGAATTCAAAGCTATTTTTAACGTTTAATGTCATATTTAGACCCTTTCAGAGTTTAATCGGTTAGTAATTGAACATTTTATTATTATTGTTTATTGATCCAACCTGAGCCTGGAAGACAGAGATGGTTTCCAGCTCCTTCTCCTTCTGGAACATCTCCTGCTTCATCTCATCGATCTTGTTCTGTTTGACCACCAGCGCCTCCTCTGCTGAGCTCAGCCGCTGCTGCAGATCCTCCACCAGGTTCCTCTCCACCATGTGGGACTGCAGGACAGGGAGAGATGGGTCACATGACTGGAAAACCCGCATTATCTGCAAAAGAGAAGCAGGAAGCAAACCTCTTTCCTCTTCTTCTCCTCTTTGAGCTCGTTGTAATCCTCGAACAGTTTGGTGTACGCATCCTTCAGCTGAGCCAGGTTGGTCCTGCGGAGGAATGCTGGTTAACTTCTGGAGTTACCATGGATACAAACACCCAGTGGAATACGAGGGAATTTAGCTCAAAATATGGAATCCAGAAATTAAATTATGAGAAATGTTTGATTAGGAGAAAAGTTTCTATAGTGAATTTGCTGTTTGCTCAGATTTTGACATTTATTTTTCATAATTAATTATAAAATCTTTTCATTTAATTTTACACATTTTTTTAAGAAGTTATTACAAATTCCCTTCTTTTTCAAATTGTGTTTCACAGATCACATTAGTCCAAACCAAACGCTCACTCTTGACCAATAAGAATGTTGTTGCTAACGTCCAGCAGACCAATAGAAATGCGTCTTCTCACTCTGGAGGAAGTCCCGTCCCTAGAAATGAAGTAAATGTGATCCGGAAAACGCATATGAAAATAATGTAATTTGTAATTTTTCTTCTTTTTTCAATTAATATGTTTGTTTTCTTTTTCTCCATTGCTGGAGGTGCGAGGTCAGGGAATACGAGACAGGAAGAGAATATCAGATTGTTCCTGTTTTGCTGTCTCTCAGCTGTTGTGGCGCATCGGGGAAAAATAGGATGCAGAAACACAAAGACCAACTGTCACTGCACAAATATGCACGGACTGACAAAGTGATATAAACACTGCATGTTTCACAGGTATCTGCAGAACAGCAAACTGAAAGGTCTGCATATGAAATTGCTTGTCCTGCTTTCAGTGAGCAAATTGAACATTTTGTTACAATTCAGAAGAAAATGAAATCAAACTCTGAGAACAAGGTGAAAGAGAAGAACTATCTTGGAGAGTAATGTGGCTTTAATGTAAAAATATCAGAAAACCCAATTTAACCGGTCCTTTTGGATCAGAGAATTCATTTTACACATTCATCACTCTCCACTTTTATTGCTACAACAAATCTATTAAAAAAAAAGACTAAATTAAATAAAATCTAATAAAACATTAATCAACAATTATTTCAAGTTGATAATTTGTTTACGCCCCTAATTGTGTTGCATATAAAAAGTCTGGATGTTACGCTTATACTTTGGAAAATATGCAGATTAAAATCTCCCCTAGGTCATGTTTTTCTTTTAAGCTAATTTCTGACTTTACATCGTCTGAGAATATCATAATCTTTGGTTTTTTTAAATATGGGTTGAACCTACTAACAATCGGCATTTGGCTGCCTTCTGTATGGCCTCAGTACCCCGCTGCTGCATGTCTGGTGACAACATCACACCAGCTTTGATGAGGTCACTAGTGCGACAGAAATCAGGAAAGTAAACAATGGAGAGTGACATGTAAGGAAGCCAGGGCGTAGTAAGTGTGCTTTCTTGTTTCTCTTTCTTATCTCCCACCAACTCTGTTTGCATTTATCGAATGCAAACAGAGTTATTTCGGCTTGTTAGATCAGATGTGGCTGGTGCGGTGTGTTGACATCCGTACGTCGCACTCAATTTAACAGGACTGAAGACGTTTTATCATTTTTTTTCCATTTATCTCCTCTTTCTTTCATCTTTGCTCCTTTTTTCTCTTTTTCCTTTCCTGTTCAACTTACATTGCAGTGCCCATATAATCTGTAAAACTCCATGCATGAATTATAATAAAGCTATTTATATGCATGAATCAAGCGGAACACTATGGAGATAGCCATACTGCTCTACTTGTGAAAGTAAAATCTGTTGGGTCCTTTTTGGCATCAAGACAATTATTCTTATTGCCACATTACCAGATAGGAAAAAAACAAACAACAGTTTAACCGGTTGATTATAACGCGCGTCGCTTGCCGAGTCGTTTGACTCGGGTCAGTGAGCTGTTCCCACTGCCACTAACTAGCCGATTGTTCCCAGGTTTAAACGTTTTTTTTCAGCCAGTGGGAAAGTGGTATTAGCTTCAACATCTCAATTTATGCCCTTTATCATCTAGAAATTTTGGGGGGGTTGTTTTTGTTTTTTTTATCTAAAATGGCCCTTCTACTTTGTGTTCTAGTTTATTGGCACGCTTAGTTGTTTGTTTCCGCTTTGTTACTCTCCAGATCAGATGTTGGTTTCTATCAGTAT